GTGCCTTTGACATTAGACAACATACCAGGATTCAGTGCCTTCACAAAAAGAAACCGCAAGACGTAAACATTAGAATGATTAATTGTGTCAATGCAAACCGAAAGATTTCTGCTGAACCTTACCCCTACCTCCCCCTCTAACAAAAAGCGATAGTCGTTTCGCCCTTCAAAGTTGTGAACCGTGAGCAACAAGCTTCACCCAATACTAGAGCAATAACTCGAGCTATCACGCAAGAATGCTGGTTAATGGGTAACACTCTTCGCCCCAGGCAGGAATTGAACCTGTACCTTTTGCTTTCGGTGCAGTTGTGTCACCGGTTACACCACCGAAGCAGGGTGTCCCCAAGAGGCCCATCGCGCGGCGAAGGAAGAGACGCAGATGCGGCAAAGGACGAGTCGCAGCGCGTGCTGTGCGATATGAGACGTAGTATGGTACACTCTATTTAACCTGACGCCTAACCGCTACAGTATGCGCTGCGACTCGTCCTTTGCCGCGTCTGCGTCTCTTCCTTCGCCGCGCGATGGGCCTCTTGGGGGACACCCACCGAAGCACCGCCTTAACTTAACCTTTTGGGGTCATTAACAACAACAATCGGAAACAACCTGAGCATCAACTGATCTTCACATTTTGCACGCCAAACCCACATTCAAACGCATTTTATCACAAAAGAGGTCATGCACATGACACACCCACGTTTTAGTTAGACAACACGCGTGAATTCCGCCTTTCCCTATTTCAATCACTATCTACGACGAACTAGAACCTTGAGCAGCCCAAGTCAACCTAAAATGTCTTCAGCGATGCTGTAAACTGGTCGACGACGAAGCTGACTTCGAATGGGACGACGAAAACTCGACGCTTTCCCACTAACTTCCTATGAACACACAATTTTATTCTGGACAACACGTGTCATGCTTGATATATTCTATTCACTTGATCATGCTACTCATAAAACACATTGGAATCTTTAAGTAAAGACACTTAATTGATCGATTCGATGTGGATCATACGAATAAACCCTAGCATTCACGAACTTCATTCATAATAGTTAAAAACCGTGCGACATTTACATATAGCAAATTTGAAAAAGCGAGATCGGAATCTACTATTTAACTATGCTACAAATCCAGTGACAGCCAAAAATTTACCAGTTAGTCATACATAGTGGTAGTAAGTAATGTGTACAAAATAGCAATGTATGCAACTACATTCAGAAATCGCTTTTCCACAAATGAATTGAAAAATCAGATTCGAGACCTGAAGATGCGATGATGTTCTGCGTCGGATGACAATCCGTGGCCAGTACAACATCCTGTTGGCAATCTATCGTCTGTACCACTTCCTTAGTCTGCAGATTCCAGATATAGATCTTCTTGTCTTCAGAGCCCGACACAAGCCATTTGCCCACCAGTTACGGAGAAATTCGAAAAGATGCAGTACTTCTGATTCACATGTCCGGTATAAGTCTTCAAGCATTTGCCTTTCGTGAAATCCCACAATTTCAGTGTGCTGTCAAGTGTGGAGGCCAGAATGTACTTGCCGTTGGGTGAGAATTTCACGAACGCTACTGGTGGATTGTCATCGTCAACCAACGTCTTTACGCATTGCCCATTCGCTGTTTCCCAGATCCTCACCAGGCCATCATACGAACTCGAACAAAGCAAGGTGCCGTCACGATTGAAAGACACCGCAGAGACAGGATCAGCATGAGCAGGTAAGACCTTCGTGCACAGACCCGTGCGCAGGTCCCAAATTCGAACCGTTTCGTCGAACGATCCCGAGGCTACCATCGTACATTGCGGATTGTAGGCACAGCAAAAGACGTAGTTCGTGTGGCCCTTCAGCGTTTTGATGCACTTCCCAGTCTCTACCTCCCAAATTCGAACCGTCTTGTCATCAGAAGCCGACGCCAAAATAACGAGTTGGGACTCCACGCCACGTCGTTGATGCCTATCTTGTGTCCGTTCAACGTCTTCATCGGTTTGCCATCCTTCACGTACCACACACGCACCGTAGTATCGGCCGACGCGGAGGCGATGTATAAACCACAAGGCGAAAACTTTAACGAGGCAACCGATTTCTGGTGGCCATTCAGCGTCATCAGTAGTGAGTAATTGGGCAGACCGGGTTGAGAAGGTGGAGGCGGCTGGATCGGAGTCGGAGCAACTTGTGCAGTTGGTTTCGTCACACCACCTTCAGCAGCAGTTGCAGCAGTGGCAGATGCGGCTGCAGATCCATCGGACTGCCTTTGTTCCGCCGAAGCATTCGCGCCATCGACTTCCATCTCCATTCACTGAAAATCTCAAGCTTACGAAATCAGCAACAGCTAGCAACAACAAGTTGTCAAGCCTGATATTGAACAGGGTACCAACCCTTTATACCAGCAAAGCACTTCAATATGAACTTTTATTCAGCTTATCAGATGATTTTAAATTATATTTTACAAATTTTAACAATGCTGAGGATCACTGACGACGTATAAACACAACAAGTATACAGCACAATATCATACAATCACGTTTTCCTTTTCTTCGCTGCTGGTCTCTCGAAGACCGGCCGAACACCAGCTGAAAGCACACAGAATATTAACAGGAATGAGACATTCAAATGAGCATGAAAGCCGAGCGAAATACTTCCAAAAAATTTTTTAAAAACAAATCCAACCAGCTTTCTTGTTGAAGAATTGTACGTTGAGGTTATTTGCGCTCGCCCATACTCCCTGGTGGTCGGTGGTGTCTTCATTGGTAAGATGTGTATATTTCGTACGTGAAGCTTTTCCGAAGTTTTTCACCTGAACCGTAAAAAATCGTTTTTGGAATGAGTTGTCAAGCTATGTTCATCTGAATTTTATTATCTCCGGCATCCACGGGGCTCCTTGAGTTTGAGTCCCTATGCCAGTCTCGATACATAACCCTCACACTACCGCTCACCGAGAAATTACTCAATATTCCAGAACCGTGGCACGTAACTTTAGTAAGTACGGTCTTATCGAACACATCATCTGCTGTGGCTTCGCGAAGTTCCGCTTATACACCTCATCCTCTTCGTCGAGGTAGTACGCACCACGATGGTAGTACTTTTGCAAGAACTTGTATTTGCCCTTTGACGGCCTGAAGAGAAACGATATCGAAAGCAAAAAGGTAAAAGGAAATCCAGCAATGCGTAATGCTCAGCAATAACGCAACATCAAAAGAAGAAGAAGAAAATCCAGAAGAAATAGAAAGAATTACCTGATTCGTGATAATTCTGGGATTTGCACGCAGATATTTCAAACGCTCTTCCTCTGTCATATTGTGAACACGCTCAAATTCGGCCTTCTCCCTTGCCAACTGTTCACGCTCTTCTCTACAACAATATTATGAATCGACAGGTACAAATGCAGATAGCAACTCGCATCTTCACTCACCTATTCCTTTTCAATCGCTGTTCCGCGGCTGCGCGATCATACTCCGTACTTCCAGGCATTCGTTATTCCAACATTTTCACTTCATCATCGTAGTACGAGCCTAATTCAATATTTTCCTCTTTCTTACGCTTCTCCATTTCATCTTCCTCGCGTAACACTTGTTGCACCAACTATAAAGGCAAAAGATTCGACAAAACCTTCACAAATGAATAGGAAACACTAAAAATTTCACCCGAATGCTGTCCCTTTTTCGTTCTTCTTTCTTTCTTTCTTCTTCTTTCTTTAGCAATTCTTGAGCGAGCTTTTCTTTTTCTGCTTCGAGCAAAGTGACGCGATCCTTCTTCCGAACGAATACCTAAGCTGGCACCAAATTTAGAGGTACAAGCGAAACGTACTCGGTGCTGTGAAGATGAGAAAATGATAAAACCGAAGTCGCCAAAAACTTATTGGCAAAGAACTCAGCCGAGCAAGAAGTACAGCAGGCTCTTACAGGTTTCAGACGTGGCAATGTGTCGTCTTCTTCTTCTTCACTTGACTCCTCTTCGCTCTCCTCTTCATCCTCCTGTTCATCTTCCAGTTCTTCTTTGATTTCTTCCTGAAATTACACTATTGTTCACACTTTCCAGGGAAAAAAGACGGTGTAAATGAAAGTTTGTGCTGACCTTTGCTTTGAGTTCTTCAAATTCCCTCTGTTTGGCTCGCTCTCGAATTAACTGTCGACGCCTTTCAAACTCTTCCTCATCACTTCCAACATCGTCTTCCTCCTAGAAGAACCGAAAATTTCATTACCAGTTTATACACGAGGATTATAGATTATTACCTTAATAAAACTATTACCTCCTGCTGTTGTTGCTGCTCGATTTCTAACCTTCTCAAACGAGCTCGTTGTCTGCGCTGCTCTGCGACTTCTGCATCGCTGTCGGACTCCTCTTTGGCGATTATCTAGAAAAAAAAAACAGTAAAGACATTTCAAACCACACAGCACACTTTTACCCATACGAGATCTGGCCAGAAGCCCCTCGTGCAAACCAAACCACCCTAAGGAAGACGCGTTGAGTTGAGAGTTGTGGACTGGGAAAAAAGTTTCGGAAAACGAATCCGAAAATATTAGGTTGAGTCATAAGTAGTTGCCGATTTGACAAAAATTTTCAAAAGTTCACAACTTTCTTTTGAACCACCTTGGTTAAGTGCCCTATTTACCACAACTGTCTACAAGTGTCCTCTATCTATCCGCAAGTGAATGGATACCTCTCCCACAAAACTACGCAACCTTCGACGTCAAGAATCAGTGGATGTCTGTTTTGAGGTGGTCGCCATCATCGTAGTTTTTCTCGTTAAGGAAACGAGCAAGCAAGCGGAGCAACTGGTGCTTGGTTGCTATACCTCAGTGGATTAGAAAGAGTGGGGGAAATCATGAGGCCAAGTTTCTGTATAGTATTCTGGCATTCTCTCGATACATGTGGGTTGCGAGCTGCCGCGCAGTGGAACAATTTCATGTATAGGAAGCCTCAACTTTGCGATATCCGAAGCAAGTTTATCCAGCTGTAAGCAGTAGGTGTCTGCGCCAGCAGTGGTGGTATTGTTTAAGTCTGTAATGATGCAATCCTACAATCGGAGAGCGGAACCTACTCCGGGTGAAGTTCACCTATTGGGGCTCGTTGTCGCTGCTGAGCTGCACGTTCCCACTGATGCCTCCGTAGGTTGCTTGGCTAGACTGCGCACTCCTCAACCCCAGTGACCCCTTGTCAAGCCGATCGAAACAACGGCTTTTATGCAGCAAACTTTGTGAGATGATCACACGTGTCCTTCGAGCCACCTCGTCCAACTCGTGAGAATTCCATCTTCCCAGTGTGTACAATTTCTCCATGCTCAGAGGGAACGACACATGGTGCACTGGGAGGACTGAAGGTCTACTGCAGTTTGACGGTCACTGATGCCGGGTTGCCTTCAAGAAGCTCTTGCATGCGTTCAATATCTACGGCCATTGGGTGTCCAAAACATGGTCGGTCTTCAGGGTTATAGTCGCCCTGGCGAAGCTTCCCGAACCACTTTCAATAGATATTCTCATTTAGCGAGTCTGGTCCTCCAGATACACAAATATTCCGACAGGCTCCTCTTGCTGAGTGCCCCAGGCGGAACTCGTAAAATAGACAGTGACGAACATGTGTTGAAGAGGACGGCATTATTTCTCCCAAAAGACGAGTACTGACGGTCAAATTTCGTAATATGAAAGGACACTAGGTCGCCACATACTGCTCTGCGGGGAACAACACAAACATTTTCTGGGAAAAATGGCGTGGGTCTGAAGAAATCGGCAATTACTTATGACTCAGCCTAATAAAAGGCAAAATCTCGTTATAGCAAGCTCCTTACAGAAACAGATTAGTTAAGCATTCATTGCCGTACCTCAGGCTCTTCTATGATGCGACTGCTTTCTTCGCGATGCCGATCACGACGTCGCTGTTCCCTATCGTCGTCTTTGTCACGTCTGTGCCTTTCTTTTGGCCGCTCCTCTTTGTCAAATCTACAAACACTGCTGCTTATGTAATTTGTATCGCTACAGCTTGCGAAACGAGATGAATCCTTCAGAGATACTCACCTACTCTCTCGGCGTTTTTTGTCATCTTTCGCTTCATCCTCAGAGTCGGTTCCATCGTCTTTTGCATAATTTGGTCTAAAATACAACACCACTTCCAAAAAAGGTAGAAATCAGTCCCCACACTATCACACAAAACTCTAGGTTGTGGTAAGTTTGAGAAGCAGTCTGTTTTTTGAACACTACCCAATAAGCCTAAGTAGGTTTATGAGAAACGAATACAGTCGATATCTCGAAGTCTGATTGGGCGTGTCACCGGAAATGACGTGGCAGCCACCGCACTTGATAGAAGTTGCGCGGATAAGCTGCTTCCAACACGCTTTGCTGATATCTGGCGGAGTATTTTATCCACACAACATCTATCAAGTGCGGTGGCTGCCACGTCATTTCCGGTGACACGCCCAATCAGACTTCGAGATATCGACTGTAGGTTCCTGATGCCCCATTCACGCTCAACGGAACGAACATCACCGAATGCTCCAGCTACGTGTACCTAGGTCGGGAAATCAATATGATGAACGATCCTAGCTCCAGAGCTGAGCAGGAGGAAACGAGCGGCATGGGGAGCGTATAAGAACATCGAGGGAGTAGTGAAGAAGACGAAGAATC